AGTGTTGGAGATGTTGGTGAAGAGTGTTGGAGATGTTGGTGAAGAGTGTTGGAGATGTTGGTGAAGAGTGTTGGAGATGTTGGTGAAGAGTGTTGGAGATGTTGGTGAAGAGTGTTGGAGATGTTGGTGAAGAGTGTTGGAGATGTTGGTGAAGAGTTTTTAAATATATATAAAAACATATATATATACTCCAATAAAGATATATATATACTCCATTATATACAAGTCATTAAACACCATAAAGGTACAAACCTTGAGCTAAAAACGTTCTTTCTAAAGTTCGAGTGACTCCTCTGTGTTTCTATGTCCCCTCAGAATCGTGGAGGTCGTTATCATGTCTCCTCAATTACAGTGAGTTTTAGCTCCCTCAACCTTTCGTCATTGTCTGACTCTCGACACTTTCGCTGATTTCGCACACGGTGATAAAAGAGAGAGAGTGAGAGAGAAATAGAGAGAGAGAGAGAGAGAGAGAGAGAGAGAGAGAGAGAGAGAGAGAGAGAGAGAGAGAGAGAGAGAGAGAGAGAGAGAGAGAGAGAGAGAGAGAGAGAAAGAGAGAGCGAGACAGGCCGGATATTGAGACAGGCCGGATAAAGAGACAGTCTACATACTATATTTCAGATATAGTATGTATACCGGATAATCAGATATCCGATAAAGTTATACAACCAGATATCAGATCCCATTCCTCTCAATACTTGACCCTCCAAACATCACTTTCCGTCCATTCCCACCACCATTTCCCTCCTCCCATTTCTTCCTAACACCGTCCACGTTATCCACTCTATTCACAACCATTTACCTTCCTCCTCCTCCTCTTCCCTCACCCTTCCCTACATGTCCCATCCCATCACTCACCTACCTTACTCCTCTCCTCTCCCCCCCCCCTTCCCTATTTACCCCCCCCCCCCTGGGGCAGTACAATAGGGGTATTCATAACAGACGGAACAAAGGAAGAGACGGAATACAATAAAAAATGGGATAGAAAGAGAGAGAGAGACAATAAAGCAAGACAATAAAGAGAACAAATACATCAATATCGTACATTCACAACTTTTTGTGTCTACAGAATCGAGCTATTAGCTCTTGGGCCCCGCCTTTCTTACTGGTCTAATATTTCTGTTACCTTTATTATTTCTACTATTACATATATATATATTTCGCTCTGACATACACGCGTGCATACACATGTCCCCCCAGGAAGCAGCCCAAAGCAGCTGTCTAACTCACTGGTACCTGTTTACTGTTTTAGGTGAGTAGGTGCATCAGGTGAAGGAAACTCTGCCCATTTGTTTCTGCATCAGCCGGGAATCGATCCCATACGCTGTCCACCTTGATCATCGTGTCAAGTAATCTTGCACGTCGCGATCATGTTCTCGCTATAACTAGCCCCAACCCCCTGCGCCCCCTTCTCTTAATTCTGGTATCACTCTTATGGCTAACCTTTTCTCGTGCTTAACAAGGTGGGTGGTTCCGTGCCGGCGCTGCATTCTTTATTACTGTTCTCACGTTAGTGTTTCACATTAATGTGAATGATTCCTTGTTCAGATTTCTTCATTCTTTTTTAATTTATATAACCAAAGCACTTTACTTAACCTTACCTAGGCCTAACTATGCATATTAACACATTTAACACAAAAATAATTATGTGAAATATAAACGAATCGTATTACAGTATATTGAGAGGGGAGAGAGAGAGAGAGAGAGAGAGAGAGAGAGAGAGAGAGAGAGAGAGAGAGAGAGAGAGAGAGAGAGAGAGAGAGAGAGAGAGAGAGAGAGAGAGAGAGAGAGAGGAGAGAGAGAGGGGAAGAGAGAGATGGAGAGAGAGAGGAAGAGAGAGACAGAGACAGAGACAGAGAAAGAGACAGAGAAAGAGAGAGAGAGACAGAGAGAAATAAAGGCATGAAAATGGCGACTTGAAGGTTAAAAGTTAGACTCAGAAAGCTGTAAATGTCCCCTCCTCCTCCTCCTCCACCAACCAACCATCACAATCCCCCCCCCAACTCCTACAATCTCTCACACTCCCCAGGGGACGTTTCCCCCCACCCTCACCTCCCCTCTTCTCTCCCCCCCCTTCCCCCACCCCCACCTCAAATCCTTTCAACAGAGCTCCTCCCCTCTCCCCTTCAACAGTGAGGGGAAGTGAGGGGGCAGAACAACACGAACCAGCGTACATAATATATGATCGCCTTGCGCACCTCACCTCCAAGGTGGGGGGAGGGGGGGGGGCGGATAGTGAGGGGAAGAATGAGGGAGTAGTGAGGGAACAGGAGAAAAAGGGGTTATAAGGCTCTGTATAAGAGGGGAAGTTGATGGGAGAGAGAAGGAGGGGGGTGGGTTAAAGGGAGGGAGGGGGGAGAGATGAGAAAGAGGGAGTATCAGGAGATGAAGGCAGCATCTTACTCAGCCTCCGGGATGCTGGTGTACAGGGAGAGGGGAAAATCCGACACCTGAAGTTGGCAACACTATGTCTTACATTAGGGTTGCCAGGCAGTGTTTTTTTCTATTTTTTTCAGGCTAGGGGATTTACAAATGGTGGTTTACAAGGTGTGAAGACGTTCAGGGCGGTGATTTACATCACCGATTTACAACTTTAATTATTATATTATGCAGTTGGCGGACATTAATTACAGTGAGCCTTTTATAAGTGGTAAAGAATAATAATAATAATAATAATAATTACATAATTTTTATTAGTAGTTAATTAAATTGGTAATTGTAGTTTTATTAAACACAATTAAATATAATACGTGATATGCCCAGAATATTTCAATCAAATGGCTTTGTCACAGATACCGAGTCATTTATCCTTATATTTCTCACAGATACCGAGCCATTTATGCTCACATTTCTCACAGATTGATTGCTGCCACGGGTGGCGGCTAGTTTATTGTGCACCCCATACTCATCCTGTGAGCGGTAGCGCAAAAAGCATTTACAGAGGGCACAAAAGGTCTTTATCAGACCTCATCTTAGATTATTACATAAACAATTTCATATATCCTTCACACCTTATAGTTACACCTCATAGTTACAATGTCAGCTAGTTACAGAGAAAGTGCTATTTCAATAGCTATATATTTACAGTAAGTCATTATACATCAATGGTAGGTCTTATCGCTAATGCACAAATGGTTGACCAATGGAGATAGTCATAGGGGAGCTTCTGTTTATTATTAGTCTTCACAATACACTACTTGTTTCTTAATCTCATATGTCGTTTATCTACTGGAAGCGAAATATGGATACAGTGCAAGGATTTCAGGTAATTTATCCATGGTAATAAGATAGGTTGCCATATCATACAGAGTGAGCTTAGATTTATCTCTAAAAGGCTCAATTTTACTACAATCCAAGATATAGTGTTCGAGTGTGTGTCCCTGTCTTTGTCCACACACTTTACACTTTACTTCATCTAGATCCCTATACAAGCCGAACTGCCAGAGATACTTGTAGCCAAGTCTTATACGAGCTGTGACAACATCTGTTAGTCTACTGACTTTGTTACTTGCCCCATACACATGTTTTACTTCACACATTTCATTGTGATGAACAATGGACCTGCTAGTTCCAGTTTGCACTGTTCTACTTTCTTCAAATCCATCCATTAGTTCTCGTCTAATGACACTTTTAAGGGACCTATTTGATAACTCAAGATTCCGTTCAATACAGTCTTTATTTACTGCAGCCTTGCAGATACCGAGCCATTTATGCTTATATTTCTCACAGATACCGAGCCATTTATGCTTATATTTCTCACAGATACCGAGCCATTTATGCTTATATTTCTCACAGATACCGAGCCATTTATGCTTATATTTCTCACAGATACCGAGCCATTTATGCTTATATTTCTCACAGATACCGAGCCATTTATGCTTATATTTCTCACAGATACCGAGCCATTTATCCTTATATTTCTCACAGATACCGACCATTTATCATTATGTTCCTCTCAGATACAAAAACCTTTACTTCACATTCCTCACAGACAATCCAAACCCCAGACCAACACACATTAGGCCTTTTAATGGTGGCTGCCTATCCACAGGCCTATATAGACCTCCTTGAGAGGCATCTCCTTAGGCCAGTACCACATGTGTGGTGTGGTGGTGTGGTGGTGTGTGGTGTGTGGTGTGTGGTGTGGTGTGTGGTGTGTGGTGTGTGGTGTGTGGTGGTGTGTGGTGTGTGGTGTGTGGTGTGTGGTGTGTGGTGTGTGGTGTGTGGTGTGTGGTGTGTGGTGTGTGGTGTGTGGTGTGTGGTGTGTGGTGTGTGGTGTGGTGTGTGGTGTGTGGTGTGTGGTGTGTGATGGTGTGTGGTGTGTGGTGTGTGGTGTGATATGGTGTGTGGTGTGTGGTGTGTGGTTTCCTACTTTCAGTTCATTACCAAAGAATGTGTTCACTACCTCTCCACCGCCTCTAGGGAGCCGGTCGGCCGAGCGGACAGCGCGCTGGACTTGTGATCCTGTGGTCCCGGGTTCGATCCCGGGCGCCGGAGAGAAACAATGGGCAGAGTTTCTCTCACCCTATGCCCGTGTTACCTAGCAGTAAAATAGGTACCTGGGTGTTAGTGAGCTGTCACGGGCTGCTTCCTGGGGGTGGAGGCCTGGTCGAGGACCGGGCCGCGGGGACACTAATCATCTCAAGATAACCTCAAGATATACCTGACCTAACCTAACCTAACCTAACCTAACTTTACCTAACCTAGCCAAAACTAACCAAACCAAACCTAAGCTAACCTAACCTAACCTAACCTAACCTAACCTACGCCTAACTATATACTGAACTCTAATATAAGATATATTAATTGACCTGTGAGAACAAACCTATTTTTAATACACAATACGTAACAACTAATGAGTGTGTTTACATGCCGGCCGCCACTTGAACGAGCCTAGCATGCGGGCTCGGGCCCGTAAGTGAAAGGGCTTCTTAAAGTGACCATTAGAGGTTTAAACTTACCGGTTCATACAGGAAACTTCGTTTTTTTTTAGGAATCAGGCG